CTGCAATTTGATTGGCTCAGAGCGGTCGTATTTCTGCTTAATTTGAAATACCTACATGTGAGAATTACAAAACTTTTCCGGGGTATAGTATAAACGAATAATAGCATGATTTGTTCGTGATATTTGGCATAAATACCCCTCATGATATTTCAAAATTGCGTATAACAATTTCGAAATATCACCCGTGGTGTTTATGCCAAATATCACTACTAATCATGCTATTACTTGTACTAAAGTTGTCCGATTGTGAGTCTGTCTATTTCCTTACAACAACAACAAAAACAAGTGATAATACATGTGTAATAATAATAAATCGGGAAATAGAAGACAAATAGAAAGAAAAAGAAATGCATGGGCAATATCTCAGGGACATGACGGAAGTGGATTGGGAGAAAACATAGCGGTGGTTGAGGAAGAGGTACCTCAAGGGATGTACAGAAGCACTGATCTGCAGCGCACAAGAACAGGCTTTAAGAACTATATCAAATTTAACAATACCAGAAAAACAGAGAATCACCTATGTGTAGGATGTGCGGAGAGAAAAGAGAAAGTGTAAGTTTCTTTGTTTTTTTTTTTTAAATAATTTTATTTGCTTGAAACAAAAATCATTACAAAAATAATTAAAAATACTTGTTCTTTTAACTATTCAAACTGTTTTCTATTTTCACAGCGGGCAGAAAATAAAAAGCTAAATTAATAAAAGAAAGAAACCAAATTAAAAGGGAAAAGACGCCAATCTAATGTGTGAGTGAAACAGCACAGCAGTACACTGGGGCTAAAGGAATATGTACTATGGGAATGACACTAGCACTCACATATTTAAAGAAGTTTGGCCCGTGATTTTTTTAAATTCCTGTAAGCGGTTAGATCTAAAAGCTATGGTGCGAAGAATATCAATTTTGTTATTGAGACGTAGTAGAAAACTGTCAAAGTCCAGGACTCCGCTGCGTACGCCTGTTGCAAAAACATTATATTTGGCGAAAATCAAACAGTAATAACGAACTTCCCAGTTATTTGACTCTTCGTGCCAACTGTATTAAAATAGTACTTTCAGATAAAGTCAGTTTTTGATTTAATCTTTTTTGGCACCAGTTAGAAAAACAAGTACAAAACGAAGAGGATACAAGTGATTAACATATGTCTTAGAGACTGACTTTCAAGGTTACATAAATGACAAACATCAGTATCAGTTATGCACGCGTGGAAGAGGCTAGATTGAGTAGGTAAAATATTGTGAATAATTTTGACCTGGAACATGATCAGTTTTGGTTCTTTCAAGATTTTGAACGGAAGCATCCCATGATTTAAAATTCTGCCTTCCGCGGTGGGTGCCAAGGAATAGGAAAAAAGCTTCAAGGATGTTTCGCACTTTTGTGAGATTCACCATGCTCGCTTGCTTTGACACGTAGTGCACCTTTCCATTCAGATGGTATGGCTCTTAAAAGGCCGTAGTAAGTGGTAAAGGAAATTCAAAGCTACATTTTTCTTTCATTTCTGATAACGCAAGAAATTTAAGGCTAACATTTAAAAAGTCTTATCTTTGCGCGACCTCCAACATCCTAACCACAACGCTTCGGTTTTGTTTGTGTCAATTTCGAGGCCACTGATCTGCTTGAATTTTTCTAAATGTTTTAGTAATTGGGTGACTGAATCAAGATCGTGCACCAAAACTGTGGTATCGTCTGCGTGTTTAGTTATCTTAATTTCCTTCTGACCGACTTTGCTGCCTAATAGGGTCTTTCTTAAGTGCTGTAGCTAAGAGTTCGATTCCAAAGATGAAAAGGAGGCCAGACGGTAGGCAACCTTGTCGCACACCTCGCTCGAGAAGGAAGAAATCAGATGCATGACCATTGTGCAGGACACAGCTCGATGCTTGGTTGTAAATAACTTGAAACCAGTTGAGTATATCAAGACCAAAATTAAACGTTTGTAAAGCGGCTCTTAAGAAGTTCCACTTTCGAAAGTCAAGAAATCTGGCAATACCGGGTTTTTCCTCCTGTTACGTGTGAAACATTACATGTTGAATTAGTCTAACGTTTTCACCGATAAAGCGTCCTTTGATGTAACCAGTTTGGTCTGAGTTTATGATTTTAGGAAGGACTTTTTCTAGTCTTTTTGCAGAATTTTGTAATCGATGTTTAGTAGAGATACGGGTCGTAGGTTTTCAAGTAAAGTTTTGTCTTTGTTCTTTTTGGAGATGAGTGAAATACATGTAGTTCCGCGGTTTTGGCTGATAGATAGGGAACCTTTTCGGAAAGGTAACTGAAACTGGCAGTCATCTCAGTGCCAAGGTCACTCCAGAAAAACTTGTAGAATTCCGCAGAAAAACCATCAGTTCCTGGCGTTTTGTTGTTTTTAAACTCTTTTAAGGTAGTTAAGCATTCTTCTTCTGAAATCATGCCTTCACACAGTATTTTTTCGTTTTCATCTAGCGGATCAATATTCTCTAAATTGAATAAATCAGATTCAGGCAGATTGGGAGTTTTGCGACTTGTAAAGAGTTTCAAAAAAAGTTTTTTGTTCTTGTAGTATCTCAAATTGATCACAAGTCACTTTACTGTTACGAAGTTTTTTTTTTAAACTGATTCCGTCTTTGCAGATTGAAGAAATATCTGGAATTTCGCTCAACTAGCTCATGCCACTGAGCTTGGCTCCTAAGAATGGCGCCTTTTGTCTTTTGTCGCATGATCGTTTGCAGGCGCAATTTTGTCGCCTAAGGCTCGTTCAAGATTCTTTTGTCGCTGGCGTTTTGTTCACATTTTTGAATAAGTTCATTAACGTTACTTTGAAGGGCAGCTTCTTCATTCTTCTTGTTTTTAGCGTTGATTTTTTGAACACTTGATTGTGAATCCGCGAATTTCCATTTTAATTAAGTCCCATTTTAGACCTAGGTCACCCAGGTCAGCATATTTATCTTTATCTTATCACTCTCACGGATTGCGGAAGTGCAGTCTTCGTCATTTAATAAAGAATTATTAAATTTCCAAAGACTAGGTGCTTTAGGTTGCAATAAGTCTTCTTCTTCAGATGCAAAGTGATAGCACAGTGATCAGTGTCAGGGGCGTTAATTATATTGCATGCTTGCGTGTCATTGCTGAGTTCTTTGTGAAGCGGCGCGGCTGTCGTTGGGATTGCGATTGCGCCAAGTGTCTGTTAAATTATAAAGGTTTGCAAGATGCTCGACTTCTTTAATCACTGTGGGTTTTTTCCAAACTGGGTTTTCACCTTTTTTGTCATTTTCAGACGAGCACAGTTGAAGTCATCTGCGATAAAAATATTTTCTTAGGAGAAGTCTTCAAGCTGATTTTCGAGTTCTTTAAAAAATGTGACTTGCTGGTTCGCGACATTCAGCGCATAAATGTTCACTAGAATTAGATGCAACTCATCAGAAACCTGCCGTTCATGTCTTGGATGCGTTTCTGGACCTTAAAATCTAAGTTCGGATTAAGGAGAGTCATAACACCTGTGTGAGCTGCCGTGACTAAAATAAACCTTCCCATCCCATTCAGCTTCCCAAATTTGGGCACATTATCTAGAGCTGTAGGTTTCTTCTAAGAATTTTAAATGGAATTTTTGATTATGTAACAACGAAAGATTGATCGACGTTTGATTGACTTATTCAATGCTCTCACGTTTAAGGACTGGAGTTTAACATCAAAACTAGGTTTTAAAGACATCTGCGGGAGAAAGGGAAAAAGTCAGAAAACTGCGTTGGCAACGGCGGACTTTGACAGCTGTCTTTTCATCGGAGTGTGAATGTGAATGCCGTGTGTTGGTGATTAATGTGTTCGAACTACTAGTAGAAATAAAATAAATTATCAAAGGACTTAGACAAACATTGGTAAAGAAACATAAACAGAAAAATAAAAAAAGACGCTTAAAGAGGCTTTCGAACGCACTACAAGAAAGTGGTTTGGCGTACTTGAGAGGATAAGCATATCAAGGAACGTAGAAAGAATCCGCAATAACCATCGACTTTGACTCACAATGTAAAATAAACACGAAATGATAAAATAAATTACTAATTAGCTTCATAAGGAAGGGAAACTAAACTAGATTTGGCATTAAAGGTGTAAAATTGGTTATCCTGAGGGAAGCATGAAAATAGAGAATTCCATTTCAGGGACTAATGCCCTCGTATTTGGAAACAAAAATAGAGTTTGATTTTAAAGGCAAGAAACAACGGAGCAAAAATAATACTGTTTTCAACTAAGAGTTAATTTTAAAGTTGTGTGAAAGGATTAGACTTACAGAAAAAGCGTCACTTATTCGCTTTGGCTAAGCAGTTGTTGGGATTGGACCATAACATCAGAGGATTCTTCTTGACTTGGCAGTGGTTCTTGTTGTTCGGCTGTACGAATGCCATAATCTTCCTGGGTATTCACCGAAGAGTTGACAGGGAGTCATTTCTTCAGGACGTCATAAACGTTCCCATTAACAACTAACTTATTTCCTTCGACGGTAGCTTTGTGGCTTGGTGTTTCTTGTTTTATCTTCTTCATCGAAGGGATAACGACGTTTTTCCTGATTTCTTGTATATGCTTCGGTAGGTCTTCACCCATTGAACTACTTGTAGCCCTCTATCTAAAATTATGACAAAGATAAGATACCAGGTATACGAAGAGCAAGTAAAAACAAATAATAGCTAATGATAAAATTTTAAAATTATCAAATTAAACATGACAGAACATTGCTTCTTCTTAGTCCATAGTACATTCTATTTTATTTTATTTTATTATTGTTTTTCTTTATTCTTTACAAACAGTTACAATTCATTACAATTAAGTCTAAATATCGATTACTAATTTTACTTTACATTAAAAGAGATAATAATTTTAACAAAAGCGAAAAAAAGAAAAAAAAGAAAGACTTTTGACGGTGTAGGTAGGATAGGTTTCTTCTTCACGTTTTTTTCCTGAAGGGAACATACGTCAGATTCTACGGTATTTTCCTTGGATTTAATTTTAGCCTTTTTTTTTTGTATATTTTAGCGAGTTAGATCAAATCTGCATCTTCCAGAGGAGGACAGCATCTACATCATCGTTGTTTCGGCACTCCTTTGCAACTTCATCAACGGTTTTGTTAATTAACTCAGTATATTCGCTGTCCAACAGAAAAGATGTATTGAGTTTCCAGAAGCCCAGGCCTCTGGGGTTATGGTTATTAGCAACGTGGATTGTAATGACTGAATGATCGGTCTTATACCCCTTTAAAATATCGGCATTTGTGATTGCGGTGGTTAAGCTTGAGCTGATCAGAAAATAGTCGAGAGGACAGTGTATAGCACGTTACTTCAGGTTTCGTTCTCCTCCAGGTGAAACGCTCAGCGTCGAGATTAAGGATTCGCCACCCATCTACCAAGTCTAGCGAGTTCGCTTTGTTCTGAACTTCTTTTAGCGAATTACTATGCTCGGTCACTTTTCCTCCTTTTTTATCTTTCTGAACATCCATTACCAGATTAAAGTCGCCTCCCATAATAACCTCTTCACAGTCAAAAGAAAGGTTATGATCGACAGGATTTTGGAAAAAATTAGAATTGTCGTTGAAACGACAGAAACGCTGCTAAAAAAGCGGTGCAACCCCACACTGACGTCCAAATAGATTCTTCTTCTTTAGTGCAGTGGGCCTCTTTAAGAAAAAAAATTGCAAATTTTTCCATTTTAAGCCATCGGAAAGCTTTCCGCCTTTTTTGGGAGTTAAAAGGCCCCTCACATCTTCAAGGGACAAATAACTAGCTCATCTTTTTAAGTAAAGGAGATAATTACAAGGGAGAGACAAAAGGTAATAAGCGTAAGCGAACACAAAGGCAGCAAACCATGTACAGAGAAACGTAGAAAAGGGAATGAAAGGTCACTTTGTACTGATCGTCTACACTGGGAACTTTTAAAGTGAACATAGACCCGAAAGAAAATCCACCGTTGACTACGCTGAAAAAGAGAGACTATGAACACAAACAAAAACAAGATAAAAACTAAATGGCTCATGAAGAGCATGCCTCGAAATAAACAGGATTCACTTTTGAACACGTCCTTTCGCCATCTTGCTCTCTCTCCCTCTTAAACCATAATATTGTAAACATTGTTAATAAATCTTTTAATCTCTTTAAAAGTATTGAGCTAATATTTTTTTTTTATATCAGCGTTAAAGAGTTATAACAACGTTTGATGCAGCAGCTAGCGTCGACCCTAGTCCATCCACATTGCCCAGCACACGTGAGATGTGAATTTCTGCATTTTGCATTTACAGAGAAGAGTTGCGCAGCCAGTGATGCACCAATATGAAACCAAGCCAACCAAGCCTCTGGGTTTGAATTTAGGGTCATATAGACAGGGACCAGTAGATCTTCAGCTTGCGCCCAGCCTATCTCCTTTAGGTTCGGAAACACTACTTGCTGGAAAGTGTGCCTTACGCCAAACAGTAGCATAAAACAGTATATCACTTCTGTTCAACAGATTCTGTAAATACCGGGACACTTTTTTAATCCACGATATTATCTGCCTGCAATTGCTGCATAATCCCTCAGGAATTACAAGGGTAGTTCTATCAGCAGGCCTCAAGCTTGCTAAATGTGTTGTTTTATTTGGGCCTCTTCTAAGCAGCTACGTGTGCTGGTTGGAAAGTGTGGAGCTGGGGTATCTGGTTACGCTTTGCTGAATGGCCAGAGAACCAAAAAAAATAGATGCCTCAGCTTTAGCGCAAACAGTGTAGGCCTTCATTTTCGTGACAGAGTGGAGAAAATTAAAGAGAACGGCAAAAAACGAAAATAGAAAACCTACAAAATGGGCGGGAAAAATATAGCGGGAATAAAATCGCGTACGCGCACATTTGGGGCAAAATTTCAAAAATATCATAATTTCTTCAACTTTTTTTTTGAAATTGCTTTGAACGGTTATTTAGATAAATTTTTTACCTGGATCAGTTTACATTTGCCAAAAGAAGCATTAAATGCTTTGCGCAAAACACAATTTACTATAAAAACGAACCTTTGAAACACCCTGTATTTTCATCAGAAGTGGTTACATCTCTTACTCTTTCTCTTTGTTTTGTTCATGACAAACACTTTTCCGTGCCTTTGCGCTTCTAGCAGCTTTGCACACCTCGCATCGGTCCTGAGAGAATCGCTGCAGCTCCTTTTCTTTTTAAATGTCTCCATGCACCAACATTTTAAGCAGTCCGGTTATCCTAAACTATTTAAACTGACATGAATTTCGAAGTTGCCTTGGTCTTGTAACTTATTTAGTGGGAGGAAAAGTGCAGGAATGGGAAGGTTTTGCAGTTGCCAAGAGCTCGTGCATTCAAAGAATGGCTTATTTTAATATACATTTTAATTTTAAAGACTTTTGTTCCTCGGTCACCGTAGCTTAATACGAAATAGAACACGAACAGATTAATTTTTTATTTGCGTGGAGTGAACGAATCCCATTTGGTGTATAGGCCTGTGAATGTTTTCTTCCGGTACATGGAAGTCATGAAAGTGTTGTTGCTGTCAAACATTGTAAAAGTGTCATCAACGTATCGATACCAGAGTGATGGACAAACTTCACCGTTCATGACCCACCTTTCTTCAAAGTACCCATGAAAATGTTAGCCAGCACTGGGCCTAACGGTGAAGCCATCGCAACTCTATCAATTTGGTCATAGTATTGGCCATCAATACATTTTATTCACTGAATAAAATGTACTTTCTTACTAAAATTATCACGATAAAATTATGACATAATTATTGATATAATCATGTGAATTTTATATAAAAGGGTGTGGTGAGTTGTCATGTGACGGCTCTAAATTGGCAGAAACAGCGTTTTAGAAATTCTCTTGATGGTTTTTAAAATACACTTAGAACCCTTTGAAACCATTTATGGGTCTATTAGATTTAAAATTAGAAACGTAAAGGAAAGAAAACTCCTTATTTCAACAGTGACGTCATAAGGAAATGCCCTAAAACTCCACCTTAACACAAGAATTGAGCTTAGCAACAAATAGGTATGTTGCCAAAAATCTGACAAAAATGCCCGTGGATGTCACATTTTGGTGGCCTGTGTACCAGACTAATAGAGTTAATAATATAGATTAACATTTCATTTCATGACGATGATGATGCAATTCTACCTGTTCACAGCCAGTAGGTGTATAGATGTTGGAACAGTCAAGTATGGCGCTCGCCAAGGGAGTGGTACCAGTTACGGGTCTAGCGTAAGTTTCTCTTGCAACAGTGGTTATGCTATCGTGGGCTCTACACAACGGACTTGCCAGCAAAGTGGGATCTGGAGCGGACAGCAGCCTAGATGCGTTCGTGAGTAACGTCACAACCTTACGACAATGCTTTCTTTCACAAAATATCATGAATACCGTAATATAGTACAAATGGAATGAAAGCGAACTTCGCCGAATTTTGACGGATTTCGGCGAACAAATTGCGAACTTTCCTTTCAGACAAAAAAGCGGCGAAATTTCGGTGAATCTACTGTTCTAGTGTCGGCGAAATTTCGCAAGCTAGATGATGAATTGAAACGAATTTTCGCGGCATGAAGACGAAATTTTGAAGCGAAGTTTCCTCTGCCGAAACGAAAGTTTCTTTTTTCAAAAATTCTTAGCTGACTAACGGAACGCAGCTGTAACCATCATCTCATTGCGAAAGTAAGCACGATCATTATTGATTCGTGTGATTAAAATAAAATCGCAACCATTGCTACCATTATCGAAAATAATTCAGCGTTGTGAACAGATCGCTGAACCACATTTTTTTATCACAGCCTTACATATGGTGGAGAGGATTTGAGACAAAACGGTGCTTTTGCGTTTACTGTATTCCAGTGAAATCACATATCTCATACATTTCGAAGAATTGCGAAAAAAAATGTTGCACACGTGTCGATTTTTTTTAAGCAAAACGAGAAGCACCTCCAATACAACTGGCTCTCTTGTGCTCGCGTGAAAATAAACAAAAATTACTTGGTCGGTATAAAGATGTTGGAACAGTCAAGTATAGCGTTACACTATGCTGCCGTGGGCTCTTCACAATAAAACTGGCACACTCGTGCTCACGTGAATATGGACAAAGATTACTTTAAGAAGCGTCGTTTCCAAAATGATAAATCTTATTGGCCATCGACTTTTACTAAATGTGGTGGCTCCTAAAGGAGACTTTTTGCTTTATTAGTCAGCAGTGACCTGCCAGACTAGTGTTTTGTCGCCCCTCCGCGTGTGGCAATAACGTCTGGGGTGAATTCACTCAGTTAATTAAACTGGAATTGGAGTGAGAACAAATTGAAATCGTTATTCGGGTTATTCTTTTGCGCTTTGGAGACGCGAATACTTTGAGAATAACAAGGCGTTCATTTATGCTCGAAGGGCATTTGACGCATATCCTCCGTTTTTTTTTTCTATCAGCCTCCACCTTTCCCTGTTCTCGTCATTCATTTCTTGCTGATCAGTGTCAGAAGATTCCTCCATAGCTATCATTTGATCAATAGCATCATCCAACTCGATGTGCTGAGGTGTCGTTCCACTCTCCCTCAACTCCTGTGCCTGTTGTCTCTTAAATCGCTGAAGGAGGATAGCAATGTGATCCCGGACTGATCACTTTTCCACAATAAAGCAAGGATCTTTGACAGTATTGAGATTTTCTGCGATCTTCTGCCACAGCGCACTACGTTGAATGGACTTTTTTTTGGCACTGTAGGGGTTGACAAAAATGATCTCCTTACACAACACAAGGTCGTGCAGAGGTGTCCAATTGATAATTGATAATTGGAAATAGAGTGGGCTAGTGATTCCGGGAGATATATTTTTATCCTGGATTTATATTTTCCCGTCGCTCCTGAACCCGGGGAGTGCTCCTATCCCAAAATTACTTAAAATCTCAGGAAGATAAGCTAATTATCCAGTTGTGTTCCAGGCCAAAGTATTGCTGGTTTTCAGTGTCACGTCATTCAAAATAGATCAAAATAAAAATCGAAACCGTTCGACAGATTAAATCCAGAATCTGTGAAATAAAAGGAGGTAAATATACAAAGACCCTCGCCAAGATTTGGGTCGAACGAATAATTCGAATACGAGATGTCCGAAATAAATATAACATACATTGGAGACTTCAAAAGTACACGACATGATGACTAGTTGCAAAATGTTTTTACAGTACAAATTCAGTTATTCTGTGTTGCTTATTTCTGCAGGAAATGCAAACGAATTGAAAAGAAACAGGTAATGGGTTCACGAATTGGAAAACAAACCAAAACACTCACTTGGGTTAAACGCTGGACGCTATTCCTCAAGCTAGATCCTCTGTCAGTTTGCTTGTTTTTTAAATAATCTAAAGTACAAGCACAAAAACTGACTTTTACAAGAGCTCTTTAACAAAAAACCCTTACACTTTCGAGAAAAACCCGAACAGTGCTAACAGAAATATACGAACCGCAATAAAGGCCATCAAAATACTCACGTTTTACCAGCAACACGGAACACCTTTGTATCTC